CTTCCATGGGTCTCATACTACGAGGAGGACAGGGGCCAGATTGCCCCAAGTATAAATTATTCGTTGGAGACATAGAGTGAAAGAAAGGAGGCTTAAGACTCATTGTTTCTAGTTCCCTCTGTGGAGAAGAGGTAGCTCTGGGTATGGAACATATTCTCCCCTGAGGAGATAATTGAATCATCAGGGAGAGATGGGGAACTAATGGAGATTCAGATTCAGGGGAGTTTATTAGAAGTGCTTTAAAACTATGAAATGCTCAATTTAAGGATTGAGGTAGTGCACTTGCCGCTCACTTAATTACAGAAATCATGCGGTTGCACTTGGAAATGGTGGCTAAGGTGGATCTAGGCAAACAAAGACATTGCCAAGAGAGGATAAAGATATGGAATATGTAATTAAATTGTGGGAGGCGGCAGATGCTGTCGGGCTCCCACTTGTACAGGGTAAACAGAAGAATAATGCAATCATACGTATAAAAAACAAAATGCTAAATTGCTTTTTCGTCCTCAGCAAATGGGGAGTCATCTGAAGCAATATCTGCTTTTATTCACTTTTTGATGTTTCTTGGTCATATAACTATTTTTTATTTGAGTTTATAAAGGATTGAGCAGCAGGGTGGTTAAAACTGAACACATTGTAATGCAATTGTTGAAAAATGGTAACAGTTTACAAAGTAAAAGACAATTGAGCTGGTAAGAGGGGTAAACATCTTTCTAAACTAATGTTATAAGAAATGAAATTTGATGGCATTCACTCTTCAGAGATGGAGTTTGCAGATCAATTCAGTAGGCTGTGCTGAAATGCTAAAACCACGTTAAACCAAGTCCTATTGATGTCAGGCTTGCTTTAATTGGCTCTTTAAGGAGCTAGTGGAAAATAAATGAAATTTAAAGTGCGCACTGAGCTCTAAGGACAATGTAGAAAACAAAGACCTTTTATGGTTCTCCTGAGAAAAGGTTGAAAATACATAAATGCATGCGCAGCACAAGCTTTCACTTGGGGAGACAGCACAGCATTGTGGACAGATTGGGATTTAGATTCACCCAGACCTGGGTTCAAATCCTGACCCTGGGCCCTTACAAACAATGCAACTAAAAGAACTCATGTAACCTGCTTCAGTCTATTTCTTAATTTGCAGAAGAGAAATGAGTAAGAGTGAACTTGTGAGGCTATGATCTCTACAACATAGTAGAGTTTATTCAATAAAGTCATGGCCTTCCAGGTCATGGCCTTCCACTTCATCTTTGTTTCGCCCCTTCCTTGGACTATAGTTTTTTAAAAAAGCAGAGAAGGAACCCATCTGTGTGTGAAGAAATTGACACATTTAGCCGCGTTCTAACTAATTGGATCATCACTTGAAATTAGCTCCTATATGGATGGACCTTGCACAGTTGGGGAGGGCAAAACACCCACCAATGGAGAAAATCACCAGCGTCCAAGGGTCGTTGCAGGTGTGCCCTCTTACCTGTGAAGTGTCTGCACTTCCTTTTGCTCACCCTGTGTTCTTTGTCCTAAACCCTGGTACAGCCTACATCTCATCCTTCTGCTATTACCTATCACCTAAAGTATATTTTAATGAAAAGAAAATGAACGAATATAGAAACATTGGAAAAACACCAAGAGCCCCAAGAAATAATATTAAAAAAGAACAACTCTCCAGAAATGAGTGCTTTTTATGTTACTGCATATTTCTATGCAGTTACTCTTTTCAACATCCATATTTTCTTTTTTACAACATGTGATTTCGATGAGAATATTTTTTGATGGGTGACTGCTTTTGCTGGCCAATGCCAATTATATTTCCCTGATTGTGTACATATTATCCCATGTAAGAGCTTTAATCAACACACAGCTTTCCAAATAAAAAATGAGCACCCCTAACTGAGCTCAGCCCTGCCTGGATGGTGTAGCTGCCTGTGTAATTTGGTGCCTCCCTCTCTGGAAACACTTGCGTCCTCAGTGACCTCTTTCTGATTACTTTTGCTTTCTGCTCTGACCTTCCTGTTCTCTCCCTGACTTGCCTCCTTGCTAACTCCGCCTGTGCTGCGGCGTGCAGGCTGTGCAGCTCTCCACTCCATTCTCCCCACCCGACGAAAAGGTTCACTGGTTTATCAGCGGCCACTCTTTGGCACCAAATCCACACAATGATTTAATTTTGCTGTAGATTATCTCCCACCGAGCAAGAGACCCTGTTTTTGGAGACATAGAGCTCTGCTTACCTTCTGCCTATGCAAGTCACTCCAGTTTCATCTTAGCAAGCCCATATAAGCCATGTGATCGCAAAATATGACTCTCAACTGGGACAATTACCCCCTCGGAGGAGGACATCAGACAAGATCTGAGCAGTTTTGGTTGTTTAGCTATGGAGAACAGGGCCAGTGGCCACATAGCAGGGATGCTGGGGGTGCTGTTCAACACCCCAAAGTGCATGGATGCCCCAGGTCCTCACAACCAAGTTGCCCACTCCGAGATGCCAGCAACGAGGCTAAGAAATTCTGATTGTTAGAGCACACCGGTGCCAAGTCCAAGAACGACCGAGACCCAAGTTCGATGCAAAAGCAAAAGTGGCCTTTATTAGCTAGCTCGAGCTAGGGCCGACCCCCCAGGGTGGAACCGACACAGCGTCCGCGCCCAGACAGGGTTGGACCCCGAGCACCAAAATTAAGCAGTTTAAATAGGCGTACAGAATGGGTCCCTTAGGGTAATCTGACAGCTCCAGATGTGGATTCTAGGAATCTGACTGTTAGGGTAATCTAATGGTTACAGACGCCGGTTCTGAGAATCTAGGATTCCAGGAATTGCAACCTCACTGTCAGTTAAGCTCTTAAAATGGCTGCTGTACTTTAAAATGGCTGCTGTTTTGCTCTGTTCTTACATGATCTGTAAAACAAGCAAGTCCATCGTACTTTATTATAGAAATACGTCCTCTTGCCATGTATTTGTGTTCCCAACAAACTTGGTTAAATATTTTCATGGCCGACATCGCACAAACATTATTGGGTCTGGACTGAAGCACAAATCTCACTCAGGAACTTTGGGGAGAGCACGTTTCCTGAGATTTATCTGCTTTATATCTGAGATGGGGACAGTATATAAGATATCCTGAAAATCTCATGAAAGAGTAAATAAATAACCAAACAATATACAGTCGTTGGCATACAGGAACAGGAAAGATTCGTGTGGATTTTTTTTTCTTTACTTTGTGCCTAAAGTTTTGGGGAAATTTTGAGTCTTGTAGCAAGAACGCAATAATCATCACGCCCAATTTGACAATGTCTCCCAGTTCCTCTTTTACTGAGAGATTAATATTAAGAACAAATTACTAAGCCCAAAGGCTGAGTGTTTCTTATTCTTACAAGTGCTGAGTAGTTCAAAGCAGAGTTCAGGAAGCAGACCATTTTGGAAGGAATGACTTAGGTTGGGACAACAACAACACATTTATCTTCCTAAGTATTGATGAGTCTCATTCACATATGCAGAGAATCTTGAGGCTGCTGACTCATAGATAATAGAAAAGAGGAATAAACAAAGACAGGACCTTAGGGTGAGCACAAATCCTAGTCTGATTGCACCTTCTCAACACCTCAACAAAAGCAAAAAGGAATGAAACAAAGGCTATTAAAGAGAAGATATTTCCATTTTGTCAGCAAGCGGGTGCATTTATGAGACCCCACTTCACCATCTCAAGTACCCTGAGAGTTGAAAAGTTTCCATTTACAAGTGGAGGGAGGCAAATGAGAGCAGCAAAGCTGACAGGACTTGAGTGGGGAGAAGCACACTGTCCATCTCACTTTGACCTCCTCAACTCTTACTCCTCATCATCAATGTCCTGTCTCCTGCCTTGCCCAACACCCTGGATTAACAGCAATATTTGGAATAACAACAATAATACCAAATACTTCCAGATGCTTATCAGGAGGCAAATGTTGCCCATTTTTTTTTTTTTTTAAATCAAATAACCTCATTTCCTCCTCAAAGCAATCCGGGGAGGTGATAACTAGACATGTCCTCAATGAACAGCAATGAACCTCTAAGACCCAGGGAGTCTGGGCAACCTTTCCAGTTTCCTGACTCTAGAGAACCTGGAAAATAAGGCAAGAAGGGAGGGGCTTGGAGACCCTGGCAGGCCAGGCCTCTTCTGGTCTCATGGACACTTCCCTTTGGCTTAGAGAGTGTGAAGAAGGCTGCCTGGGGGCCAGGCAGGGCACATTTAAATCCAATGCAAGGCCTTTAGAAGGGAAATTCACAGGACAAAGAAAACCTTAGTTCTCTGTTTGGAAATGGAAGTCCCCAGGAGATGGCCCGAGGCTGGAAGACCCCACCCAAGGAAGCTTGTGCCACAGGACTTTGGAGAGAAGTGCAGACTTGGCGAATTACCTTACCGTAGCACACCCAATTCAGCAAACGTGCACTGAGGGGCTGGCGTAATTCTCTAAAACTAGTAGCACACATGACGCCAAAGAAGGTGAAGGGAATATTGCAGCTTCTATTGCTTGAAAAGATTTTTTAAACAATCAGAACAGCATGAAACTAAAATGAGGGAAAAAAATCACACCAGACATTTTTCTAAAACATTATCTCTGTGGGACGGAGAAATGAGCATTGTGAAGAGCACTGGGTAAAATGAATTGGACTTCCTCACTCTCTGGTTATCACATTTTGATCCCTGATTGATCCCTGTTGTCCATGGACGAATAACTAAGAATACAGCTGTCTACGGAGCTGCAAGGCCGTTCTGTGGAAATTTGTTCTGTGGAAATTTGAATGGTGTCCATTAATTGCGGAAGCTATTTTTAGCAGCTTTTATTTATCACTTGATAATAATTGTAGTAGCTGATTTATCTGTGTTTGTTTTAGCATCTAATCCCAGGTTTATTTTAGTGGAATCTCCATTGTGTGCAATTTTGGGAGCAACCGTGCCCAGCCCCCAGGCCTGAGGACAGAAGAGGCATTATCCTTTTCTTCATTGTCCTTAAGCAACACAGTGACATCTATAGAAAGGGGAGCTGTCAGGTTCCCTGACTGCCCCTATGACTGAGCTGAGTGGTGAGAAGCTAGAAAAGACTGGGCGAGGACTTAGGAGAGCAAGACAGGAAGAAGGGAGAAAGTGACCACCTGGAGGAGGAGCATGGAGCAGAGAGACATGGAAAGAAGCCACACTTGATTCTGGGCCTCGGACTTGGACTAGGAACTTGGAGGACGTGGAACGAGATACTCGAAAGAGACAGACGTGGGTGAGACCCATGGGGAGACTGACAATGGCAGCCTTTGTCTTGACTTGGGTTTTGATTTTGCTCTTTTCCTTCCAGACTTGCCTGGCCCCTACTGGCCAGGACCCCACCAGAAGGGGCCTTAGACAAGGCAAACTTTCAGGCCTCAGAGCCCCTGCTTTAGGCCAATCCTGTTTGGCTGGGCGTTTACACACCCACGAGGGGTAATAGTTTCATGGGGAAACTATTGCAACTATATCTTTTCTCATGTCTCTATTGCACACTGTATTAAGGTCCTTTTCTCTTGAAGGTCTTATGCACTAAGAGTGTGGCAGAACCCATTCAGGGTGTGCAGGTTTGGGGATCTTGGGGAGCCCCTCATTCTGCATGCCAACACTAGTCTGGTGAAGAGGATGATCTGGCTTTGTTCAAGCGCTGTCCTTCCGCGGAGCTTTGCTCTCTTAGCCAGCGGGGCAAAGATGAGAGGCATGGAGCATGGTGAGAGAAGCAGCCATTGTCCTGGTCCAGTGCTGGTCCCTCTCAATGTTGAAATGTACACAACAAAAGTGTTTTTCTCACTAGATCTCTTAAGAACAGAGAGCCGTTAGGTTTCCCTGATGTTGTCTTTCTATGACTTATTTTTGCTCCAATTAGCCTTTAAAACTGCTCGTCCAGCTATGAATCATTTAGTTCATAGTTTGGATTAAGGTTGCCGGATTTTATTCCTAGGTCATGAGTGATAGAGATGTATGTATTCGTGGTACAATAGCAGTACTCAGCATTTACAGCGCCCACCTTGGCTTTTGATTTTGCTCCATTCCTTCCAGTTGTGAATTTCCCCATGCCATGCCAAAGGGGGTTGTCAGCTTTTGGATGATATTGCATAGGAAATTGAACAGCTGGGCCTCACTGGTGTTGCAAGGGGTTAAGTTAAACATCAGCATTATGAGGCTAATGGCAGCCACTGCAGCATGAGTTTGATTCCAGGTCAGGGAGCTGACCCACATGACACAGCCGACCTCTCCTATCTCCCCGCTGCTCCCCTCAGCAGTGTATTTCTGTAGATCTGCTTGTTCTGCTCCTCACTCTGTCTCTGGAGAATCCTCTCACCCCCCACCCCCCACACCTCTTGTCTGTACCCCAATTCTTGTATGCATAAATAAATAAATATTTTAAAAAAAATTGAGCAGCTGACATAGGTTGTCCAGTAAATATTTATATGTAAAAGTTCAGAAATTCTTTCAGTATTCTACTCATTGTTTTTCCTTCATAGTCAAATTTTTGTTTGTCATTCTGTAACAGGGGGGTCCCCAGGGAAGGGGGAGGTTCCTGGTTTCCTGCCCCACCCAAAAATGAGGGTGGAGCTGAGCAGGGAGAGAAGAAGCTGCAGAGGAGCCTGAGGAAGGGAGGGAGCAGGATGGAGCCAGAAGGAGCCCTGGAGGAGGCACGTGGAGCTGAGAGACACGTGAGGAAACTGCGCTGGCCTTGTGGTCGTGGACAGGGTGACACAGATGTGGGGGAGACCCGTGGGGAGGGGACAATGGCAGCTTTTATCTTGATGTTGATTTTACTCTTTTCCTTCCGGGCTTGTCTGGTTGTTTCTGACCCTTCTCTGTGGGTCCCCATTGGAAGGTGTTTTGGACTTGGGGCAGGTTTTGGGGCCTTGCTCTGGGCCAATCCCGCTTGGGTGGACTTTTACCCACGAGGGGACGGGTGACTTTGGGTGCTTGATTTAGAAACTAGATTCTTTGCCTTTCTTGTATTGTTCCCTAATTGTATTAAAGTTCCTTCCCATTAAAGTCTCATATGTTTTGTGTTGATGTGGCGGATGGCAGAGCCTATTTAGAGCAGGCAGGTTTGGGGGTTCTGAGGTGCCCCTCTCAATCTGACTTTATCTTTGCAATGCAATTTTTCTCTCTAAAGAAACTTATTTAAATTGTTTATGTTTAACACAGCAAAACATATCCTTGCTGAATGCTAAGGTTTTATGGCCTGTATGTAAATTTTCTTGCATTGCTTGGTCTGGTTTACATTTATATTGAAATATTTTATTCAACGGACATTTCTTACCAACTTTCCAAGTTTCTTATTTTAAAAGAGAAGTTAACTAATTGACTAACTGCTCCACATTTCCCCCATTTATTAACAAATCTACTTTTGTCTTAGAATAAATATGCGGATTTGAATATATGAGTATTTATGTGGACTCTTTCTTTTTCACATTGAGTTGTTCATAAATTTATACTCAGCTACCAAGCTATTTTGCTTACTCATCAGATGAGCTTTCACTGTGAGCTAGGACTAGACTCTGATTAAACTTTTTTTTAACCACTTTAAATTACATCGGTTATGTTTCTTCGGAAGTTTGATAGATTCATTTATTATACTGCTTGGGTTAAGTTTTTTTTTCCCTAGAGTTTTCTTGAGACTTTCCAATTTAGTCAATGCTAATAGGTCCACTTACAATTTCTTTTTCCTTTTATAAATCTGGCACTTGATATTTTCCAGGAAAATGACCCTTTTACTTATGTTTTCTCCTTAATTTGCATAGTTATGATTAAACAACTCATGCAATTTCTTCTACAGCAGTGTTGATGTCCTTATCTTCACTTCTAACATTGCATATGTATAAGGTATTATCTTAATTAACCTACTCTGTCTGGTTACCCCAAAAAAGCCCTTGAGCAGATCGTGGTAGCAGAGCCAAATCCTAGATATCTTTTTTTTTTTTTTTAATTAATGATTCTCTCTGGCCTGCACTTTGCTTGTCCCTTGCTCCATCAGAGGTACAGCAAGAATGACCACCTTTCCAGAGCATCTACACTGGTGACAGGGGATGGCGGGGGGACCCTCCGTCAAGATCCTCTCCCGACTCAGGTTGGGGTGATAACCCAGGATATGTGCCCAGCGCTGCTTTCCGAGGTTGGAAACGATGACAAAGCCCAATTCGAAAAGCCACTTTATTGCTTCCTTTTCCTTCTTCAGCTCATTCCTCACTTTCCTGCAAGAGTTTTCCTCACCTCATAACTAAGTTGATAGCAGCTGGTCTCTCTTGTCTAGAACCAGACAAAACATGGTAAAAACCAGTAAACCACAGAAAATGTCTGTCCGGAGGTGCAGGAAGCTTTGAAGACAGTGAGAATCGAGGAGGCTAAGATTCAAGGAAATGGAAGTCTCGTGAACAAGTGAGTTGAATTATACAGATCTTCTGAGAGGAGCTTCTTTATTTCAATCTTGGAAAATAGAGATAAAATCTGGGCTTTGAACTCACCAAATCTGCTGTGGGAGACTGAAGAGCAGCAGAGATTTTGTGGGAATTTAAGAAACCTAAAATAATGACTGGTTTCCCTTAAATAAAATTGGAGCATTCTAGAGCTGTGGTGGGTTGCTGGTTTAAAACTTTGCAAAAATCACAGCAAGGATATTTTAGAAGATCTTGAAATTGACATCTTTTCAACTGGAAGCAAGAAAATCCACTCCAGAATCCAGGCAGCCTCACCAAGCCAGAGGCATCAGTGTCTGGTGGAGAGGGAGTGGCCAGCTCTGATATGTGCCCCTGAAGTCTATTTTGGAGAAGTGTTGGGTGCAGAGAGCGGAGTCCTTGTGTTGACTCTGGGAAGAATTCCCCCAGAGCCCCCCTTTCAGAGGTACATGGCGAGTTTGTCCATGAGACGGACGTTAGTTATATCCAAAAGGGCAGGTTTATTACAAAAAGTGGGAGGAGTAAAGGAGACTTTCATAGACACAAGTGAGCAAAAAGAGCTGCCCTGGGAAGGGACAGGTCTGCTAAGAGAGAGGCCTGCATGGTCCCAGGTGGCAGCCTTGGGAGGAAGCTGCCGCTGCTGCTTTGCCAAGGGAAAAGGTTGGAGGAGCACCTGCATAGGCACAGGTGGGCAGGAGGCTGCAGCCCCTTCCAGTGAAGAAATTGCACCGACATAGTCTTCTTTTCTTTGGGAGAAGCTCATTTCTTTGTGGAGATGTTGACTTTTGTTAATTACATCTAGGGTGTGATTAGGTTGATTGGTAAGGACCAGTGAGTGATTCTCTATAATGGCCTCCCTTTCCAGATCCCAACTCTGGTCTGTGCCTCTTGATACTTTCCAGATATATATCAGTCTGACACTTGCTATAGCAGATGGGCCTAAAGATTTTTAATTTCTGGTGCTGGCCTAATGACTGTGTTAATCAGGTCTACCCCCACCTCCAGCTTTTGGTCTTTTATGAGCCAGGTTTCTGGTCTTGTGGTGGCTCCCTAGTGTTTTTCTCCTCTTGTGGCCTCCCTGGTGGCCTGTGGTTAAAGACAACTCTATCAGGTTATTGGCAGTCACTGAAGCACAAGTTCTATCCCTGGCCGGCCAGGGAGCCAAGCCACTTGGTGGAGCAGGTCTCTCCTGTCTTGCCCACGGCTCCCCTCAGCAATGAATTTCAGTGGATCTGTCTGTTCTGCTCCCCACTCTCCCTGGTGAATCCTCTCCTTCCCCTGCACCTCTGGCACACACCCCATGCATATTTTGTATGCATAAATAAATAAATCTTTTTTAAAAAAAGAGATTTTCTCCTCTTAACCTCCATCATCCTTAGCAGAGTAAAAATGTCAAAATTTGTTGGAGGATGATGTCATCTAGAGCTTTTATACTTTTTACAAAGGGAGAAACTTAGTGAAGAAAACCATTTACTGGAGGTCATTCAGTAAAGTCAAGTGATCATAAATGGGAAAATACGATCACTGTACTTTTCTATGATCTGTGGTTTGCTGTTACTTTTGTGTACAGGCAAAAATTCTTGCTGGGCACAATGCATCTGTAAAATATAATGGTTCTATTTATTACGATTTTACTAGACCAGTTTCTCAATAGTGTTTACATCCTTTAATCTTCACTAAAGTGCAAGATAAATTCCCCTGTTTTAAAGATGATGAGAAGGAAAAGCAGAGAGAAAGTGAAACTTTCCATGGTGCACACACAGGATTAGAACCAGCTTTTTCTAAGTCCAAATCTGACACTTCAATTCTTTTCTCATAAGGAATATGTTAAACTGTGTTTACAGAAAATTATGATTTTGAGAATGGTTAGACAAAGGGCTTATTAGATCACCTGAGTAAGGATTTGAACTTGGCTAGCAGCACAACAGATTTTACCCTGTGAGACATCTTCCTCATAAGTATAAATTTGCATTTAGTTCCTATAGCCTGAAACAGGAGTCTTCAACACCAAGAGAGTGATTATTCTTCATAGAAGTGACTTCTGGCTCTAAATTATTCTTCTCTAAAGATAGGCTAATACTACTGGAAGGTGAAGTGGGACCCACTCTCCAGCCCCTCTGGAGGAATCCTCTGCTCCATGCAGAAGGTTGGGCATGCATTTTTAAATTGTATTTTTTAAATTTTTATTTATTTATTTAAAGATTTATTTATTTTTATACAAGAGCTGGGGTGCAGGCCCCAGGCGCGGGAGGGTGAGCGGATTCACCAGAGACAGAACAGGGAGCAGAACAGGCAGAAGGACCGAAATACGCTGCTGAGGGGAGCAGTGGGGAGACAGGAGAGGTCTCCCAGGCCATGTGGGATCCTCGCCAGCCGGCCCAGATGGAACCCGCACTGCAGAGGCTGCGGACAGCTTCACAGCGCCGTGCTCAATGTGCTGCACCTCCAGGGAGGCCCTAAATAGTATATTTTTTTAAAGATTTATTTTATTTATTTATGTGAAGAAGAACTGGTGTGCTGGCCAGAGGTGCAGGGGTGATAGGTGAGAGGATTCACCAGAGACAGAGTATGGAGCAGAACAGGTGGAGCTACTGAAATACACTGCTGAAGAGAGCAAGACAGGAGAGGTCTGTTGTGCCCTGTGGGTCAGCTCCCTGGCTGGGGATGGAACTCAGGATGCATTGGTGACAGCACTAAGACTATACCCCTAGGCTCTCCGGGAGGCCCTAAATAGTATATATATATATTTTTTAATTCTGAAAAGACTGGCTTGGATTTTCAGGTAATAGATGTTTTTTCATACAAGATGGAGCCTGTGAATATGACTTGTTGGGATGGAAACTCCAGAAAATTTTACGTTATGTTCAGAATTGTAACATTTACATTTCTTTCCAATATATTACTCAGTAAATATTTAAGAAATACTTGTCTTTTAATTTTTTTTATTTAGAGTTTGTTTTTTTAGCTATCTGTTCACCACATTGAATTTCTGATTTGTTTTCATCCAACAGAATGCAACGTACTGAGTTGTCAACTCATTGGAGGACAGAATTGCAAGTTTCCTAGCCACACATTGAAAAATTATTGAGTTAGGTAGTCTGTCATTATTCGGGCTCATCCTGAGAAAAATAATATACTGGTGGCAGGAGACTTTGCCATGTCACAAGGTTAGTCTTAAGAGAGGACATAGGGGCCTCCCCGGTGGCGCAGCGGTTGAGCGCTGGGTTGCGAAGCTGCCCGCAGCGTCTGCGGCGCCGGTTCGATTCCCCGGCTGCTCCCCGGCCACCGGAGGAGGGTCCCACATGGCGCGCAGACCTCTCCTGCCACCCGCTGCTCCCCTCAGCAGTGTCCTTCGGTCCTTCTGCCTGCTCTGCTCCCCGCTCTGGCTCTGGTGAATTCTCTCACCCTCCCGTGCTTCTGACTGTACCCAGTGCATGTATAAACAAAAACAAAACAAACAAACAAATAAATGAATAAATAAGCATGCCTCTATTAAAAAAAAAAAAAAAAAAAAAAGAGAGGACATAGGTCTTTGAAGATTTATAGTCAATGTGGATTGGAAAGTCGCCCTTGGAGACGATGTGGTTTTGGGGTAGCAGCTGCAGCGGAACATCTTGCTAAAGGAGGCAGCTCCAAATCACGGTCCATTGAATTATCTGAGTAGGACTGCTGTGGTCTTATCCAGAACAGAAAGAGATGAGCACATCAAGGAAAGGGAATTGTACACATTTCAAAGAACTATATACTGAAATCAATCATTTTCTTTAATGTGAAAATGTAGCCTTTGAGTTTGGGGCCTGACTTGCTTGATCAATATATCTTGGCAGGTGATCGGCTTTTATGCTGATGTATCATGATAACAAAGGAAACATTAACTAATGCTTATAATATTGTCTTTGCTAGAAGTAATGCTGGTACAACAGTCACTTGGTGGTTTGGGATGGAAAGGAAATGAGAGATGAGAGACACAGCTGAATGTTCCCATATCTCTTGGTATATTGGTCAAGAGATGCCCTAAGATACTGGATTCAAATCCTCTCTGTTCGTCAGATCCTCATACGTAAAACAAAGACACAATGACAGCATTTATCTTGGGTTGTTGAATAGTTAGATCAATTCGTCCATGGCATGTCTTCAATAGCTCCTAGAATACAGTCATCATCTGATTAATAGTAACTGGACTGTTTGCTGTAAATTCTCCAAGTTCACCCTTCTTAAGAGGAGCAATGATCACTCTTAAGATCAGAAACCACATGAGGTGATGGAGAGTCAAGAGCTTTGCAGACTCGGAAAACGATACTTTCCCTGCATATACATTTTTCCATTGGGCTAATTCTGTTCTGTTCTAGTAAGTACTCAAGTATGAAGCAGAATTCAGATATTACTGGTTTCTGTCTCCACTATTGACTACTTAGTAAAGCTAATCAGCCTCTACTTAAAGATCTGAATTATGTGAAATCGATTCACAGTGTTTCCGGAGTTAAAGTCACCTGCAAAGTCCTCTGTGCTATTGGGGATTCCTGCTTCTGCGTGGAGTGAGAGAAACATCTTGACCATCATTCTTTTTGTGAAGACATCACATTGGATGGGGAGACATTTGCAGAGTTCATCATCATTGCCAAGAAAGAGCATGTACGTATCCTGTGTACGTGTTATTTCCTAATTTTAGCTCAAATATTTCCCACAAACCATAATGTTATTTATTGTCTTTACACAGATGAGGAAATCATGCTGGGTCTCTAGGTAACTGGGCTCAAATCATGACTTAAGGGGTTGGCTTTGCATCAGCCACACTGCTTGCTGCCGTCCCCACGTCTCTATAGCCCCAACCCTTTTAGCGTCCTCCTTAGAAACACAAAAGCAAACATTTCATCTTTCTGTAAACTACTAACCTCATAGTACCTCCCTGAGTGGTTTCTTTGAAGAACGAAATGAACTAATATCTGGAAAGTGAGCTGAGGGAAGCAGAATATTGAGGAAATACTATGTTTTCTTTCGTATTTTAGTTTGGAGACAAGCTTGCGATTTTGTGAACTTTGTAGGAACCATCAAAAGCTTACTTTCTGGACTGTTGAGAACAGGTTGCTGTATGTGACACATCATCACAGCATCCCGTGTTTCTTGCAAACAGACAACAGACATGAAACAATCACATGTGGCCAAAGCGATCAGGAAGTTAATACTGACACGTGAACGCAGGCTGATCCTCAGACCCCGTTCACGTTTTGCTGATGATGCCAACAGCACCCTTCTGAGCAAAAGAGGCGGCCTGGATGCACCGTGGCCTCCAGCTGTCCTTGCCTTCATGCTTCTTCAGTGTGAAGTGAGGTCTCAGCTTCCTGGACCTGTGTGAACACAGGTCCTGTGTGAACACAGGTCACCACGGCGGCTCAGCTTTGTGCGGCTCTCCTGGAGTGTTCCTTCTTTGGGTGTGTCTGCTACTCCCTTAAGCATTTTAAGCAAAATCTCAGCTGTGGCACTGTCCTCTTCCCCTGCCACCTATTAGCTGGCACACAATTTTGATTCAACATTCCTGGGGGTGCCAACCTGGCCAGTGGATTCACGTAGTCTCTGCCTCATTTCTCTGCTGAAAGTTTGTTTTAAAAAAAAATCTTTTGCATGGATAAGTATTTTGGGGGGAGACGCTTTGAGATGGTGTTAATAATGCATCCGAAATTTATTCATCTCTGCTCCAGTCTAGACAAATGGGCTGCTCCTACTTTATTTAGCAGATTATCATCTGTTACTAATGGATGATGTTCAAATGCTTCCAGACTTGACTGGCGGGGGTCCCTTCAAGCTGTATTGTGCGTCCCTATGGCAGGGAATCCTCATCACTTTTTGAATAAATTCTTATGTTTTTGGCACCACTCAGTGTTCTGACCCCCCTGGTACTGTCCCGGGCTCGGCCCTCTAATCAGCCACCGTGCCAGTAAGTTCTTTCAGGGGAGGACTGTGTCTGGAAACTAAGCTCTGGATGAAGGCGTGCTCACCGCTGTGGGGTGCTGCTCTCTCCTGTCTCAGTGGGCACATTCGGGGAAAATGCATGCGAGCAAATACACCCTTTCTGTGTCCAATCACCATTTATCGATGCATCTAGAAACCTTCGATTCCATCTAACACCCTGCACTTGTCCAGAGCTTCCCCCCAATCTCTCTGTCTCTGTAGCACCCTTCTCCAAGGATAGGAGACCTGAAACCCACTTACCTGATTACACTATTTAACCAATATGTACGCAAACCATCGCCCCAAACTCCGGTCACCCCTTCCTACCCTTTTCCAACACACTCTTCACTCTGCATTATTCACGCTTCCCAGAAGGTGCTTTCTCATTCCCCCAATCCATCGCCCACGCTGGCTTCTCCCCACCCTCTCACCCCTCACTTTCCATAACCCTCTCTGGTGGTGACCTCTGCCCCCCTCTGTATGGGCAGCCTCTGACAGGCGTGACCCCCACTACCACACCCATGCAGGCAGGTCTTAGGGGGGCTCGTCCAGCTGGTTTTGAACTGAACTGAAGAAAGGAGAAGACAGGAGAGAGGAAGAGAAAGGGAGAAGGAAGAGTTAACACATTTAAAATGTTTGTCATGATTATCACTGTCTTTGTGTTACCTTTTCTGCTGTAAAACTCTTAGGAAACCATCTCTTATTGGCCACCATGTCTCTATGTGAGTTTAATAATCTGAATTGCCACAGGATTTATCTCATTCTGCACTAAGTGATGTTGTCAGGTGAGTCTCATTTGGAAAATGCAGACACTGATGGGGAAATAAACAAGCATCTTTCCCCATGTAAACAGGCCACTGAAGGGCATGTGGAATTGTGACTGCTCCTCCTCGTTAGATAATGACAGACAGGCAGGCAGGCGGCCTCCACTGCAGAACTGGGCCAGTCTGGAAGGGACCAGAGAGGCCGCAAAGGGTCGTTGCTAGGGTCACAATTCCCCTTAGCTCATGACAGCCCAGCTGGAACCAGCACTGGCTTCCAAGAGAGTAGAAACAGCTCCCGGCCCTTTTAATGCCCTGGGCTTGGGAGGCCAAGAAGCCTGGACCTCCTTTTGTCTTCCTGAATTTAGAAACTTGGTTTAAAAGAAGACTCTGGAAGAGCAAGGAATGTGACTTGGGAAAACTGTTTCTGAGAAGTCTGTACCACCCTCTGACGATATGGCCTCCTGGAGTGGGCAGTGTTGATGGAAATCATGTGGGTGATAAGATAGAAATGTATGTAAAACCAAGGCATTCAAGAAATGCTAGCTTTAATTCTCGTGATTATTTATTTACACAAGTGTCGTTAAACCTGAGGCAAGCTGCCTTTGTTGATGGAAGTCAGTTATAGGAACATGGACTCTCAGAATTGACATCTCTGCCTACGTGAGTCTGTAATAAACCCATGTAAACCCACACCATGTTTGAAGTTCTTTACTTTTTTTAAAGATTTATTTATTTATGCATACAAGAGCTGGGGTACAGGCCAGAGATGTGGGGAGTGAGAGGATTCACCAGAGACAGAGTGGGGAGCAGAACAGGCAGATGGACGGAAAGCGCAGCTAAGGGGAGCAGCAGGCGAGACAGGAGAGGTCTGCTGCGCCATGTGGGTTGATCCCTGGCTGGCCTGGCCGGGATCGAACTCGTGCTGCAGAAGCTGCAGATTGCCTCATGGTGCGGTGCTTTAACCCCTTGCGCTGCAGGGAGGCCCCCTAAAGTTTTTTAATATAAAGAAAGAGCATCAAGGACCGATGGTAAACACTAGGATCAACGAGGATGCTTGAGAGACCTGCCCAGGAGTCCTGCAGAGGCCCTGTTCTGCCCCTCACTGTCCTGCTTGCCTGGAACCTTTAATCTTGAAACTCAACAGTCCATAAACTCACACACAATGTGGGCAGAGGAGGCCTGGCAGAGCCAATGCTTCTTTTTTCCCAACCCTTGGAGATAGGGTATGGATTTTGCTAACTAGATGTTGTGTGTGCTGTTAATAGATCCTGTGAGCTTTGGATTAGTGAAGTGCTGTGCTCTGAGGGAAGGAAAGAGAGAACTCGAGTTCAATGAGCTGATTTTTTTTGAAACCAAACCATGACTAGATCAAAGAGAATGAGAGCATTCTTGATGACTATCGCAGAACCTTTTAAAGCAAAAACATTCAAATGAAATTTAAACTCAAGGAGTTTACTTGTAAGCATTCTGTGCTCTGCTTTAGAAGGAAAAATGTTTTGTAGTTATTGATTTGCCACATACTTTGAACAAACAACTGGTGTTTATTGAAAATTGGCTTGTGCTCAGGAGTCTGAGCGGATGGCAGCAGAATTAATCAGGAACGGATATGCAGCAGAAGGATTCTGAAGCATGGAGGAGGCGACAGACACAAGAGGTAGCTGCCATGATGCAGGCACCTCAATAACTACCGTGATTTGGGCAGGACACTGTGATCCCAGGGCTTAGATCTGCGGTGGTGAGTGGGTGCTTCTCTCAGTGGGGACACAAAGGAATTTGAGCCTTGGAATCAGGCCATTGGATTTTGTTCTTTCCCTCATTAAATATGGGCCTTGGCTGCATGTTGAAATGAATTTGAGCCTTGGTTTCTTCATCTGAAAAGGGGGTTCATGATTTCTGCCTCGGAGCATTTGTGTGAGGAAAAACAGAAAGTGCAAAATAGCCCCAGGCTGAGTACATGGCACCCAGCAGGCCACCAAGGTGGTGTTGACTTTCTTCTTGGCCGTGGCCAAAGAGGATTTCATTTTCTCTCCTTTATTTGTGTGTTCTTTCCTGTGGAATCACTGTTCTCTTACCTGCTTCTGCTTAATTTCATATTTTCACTAAGAACAAATTTTAAATATTTGGTCACAAATATTGGGGCGACTAATAAGTCAAAACAGTATTTTTGGAAGTATACAAAATTCTCTGAAAAGCGTTCCATGTATTTTGCCCTCAATCCTATGTATATCATTTGTGCTTCACTTTTGAGCTTGTTTTCCCATTTGCCACAATGAGAAACACAGTGTCCCAGACGCCCCTTCGAGAGCAGTTACTCCAAGACTACTGATGGTGCAGGCTCTAAGCCAAGCATGATGCTTGTCACAGATAGGGATATGATAAATATTATATAAATGATGGAGTCAATGCACCCATGAGGCAAAACTGGTATTTTCTCTCAAAGCTCCGAGTCCAGCAAGTGGTAGATTCCATTTATATAATGACTTCCTTCATCACCATCTCTTATAACATCATCGAGTTCCTATAAATATGGGATTTTAGAATCAGTCAGAGGACCTAGTAAGGGCAACTAAGCCATTTACTAGCAAAAAGCTCGCCATCCTACCATTACAATCACCCTCTGTGAAGAGAATACCCCAAGCTCTTTGAAGAGATTAATATTTCCCGAAAAACACAATCGATGACCTTCTCATAAAGGGCAAAGTTTGTCTTTTCTAGTACAAGCATTTAACAGTTTGTTTGGATTATACATGAAGATTGAGAAAACCCTGAGCAAAAACTTTACTGAAGACAGGGGATAATTTTCCTAGTCAAGGAGTGAAGTGGATCTATTGCTTTCCTCAAACACATCCCTCAAAGAGAAAAAATAAAGTGTAAGCTTTATTGGGTAAATTCTAGCCTGGAAAGTGATAGAGGAACTTTTGCAGTTTTTTAAGGTTCCCAGATCTGTGTCATTCTTTCCACTTTGTTATGCACTTTTATTTCAATATGTGATTGTGGGCGCAGGATGGGCACAGAGCAGGTTTTCTGATCTGGCAGACGGGTAAAGGAGAGTCTTGGGGCCCTCGATGGGTTTCTCAGGCTTTTATTGAGCTTTACATGTAGTGTGGCAACCAGGCACATGCAGGCAGGGGCGCGGGTGGGTGTGGAGGTGTTGGGGGTGTGTGGGGGGGTGGGGCCGGAGGCCGATAGGCCTCCAAGCACCCGGTAAGTCTTCACTCTGGGCTTCTCTGGCTTCTTTCTCCTCTTCTCTCTTTCCTGCCTCTCTCCTGCCTCTTTTCCTGCTTCTCTCTGACTATCTCAGTACTGCCCCCAAGGCCCACAGAAGTAAACAAGACAGCTTACAACAATGTGACAAGGGCAGGTGCTCCATCAGGCAGGGCCATCCTAATGGTGGGAGGGTAGAAAAGACGGAAAACCATTTCTCCAGTGATATTCTGTGTTCTTGGGCCCTAGCTCATGAATTTAGCAATGCATCTATTGACTTTAAGACATACATGTACTGTGCACATATATGCATATAGGAAATACATATCTTAAGTACATGTATGTGTGTACACATATATATGTCCACACACATGAAAACACATACACTTAAGACTTAACATTGGCGTAAAATACTATAGGTCATGAAATCTTATAATGAACATGCTTCTTCTCCAATAATTTCAGTGTGTTACTGGGATAACACGAGTTGAGATTCAAGTAAATTTGAGCGAGATAAGTTACCTTTAAAATAAGAGACTTCCAATAAAAATTTTGTCTGTACTTTAAAAAAGAAAATAAGTGCTATTCAAATTGCCAACTCCTGCTGTTTTTTAAGTATTGTCTGATTGAATGACATTTTCCCATACACTGTTAGCTCAATCAACACATCAATAAGTAACTAAAATAAATAACCAAACTATAAATATTTTTAAAAAGTTGTATTTGTATTGACAGAGACAATAATCCTCCTGTGCGTGTTTTACCAGCAATCTGAAGAAGTCATTTCCTTGATCATGGATATGCAAACTAAATAAAAAACAAGACAAATAGAATAAGACAAATAACAGCAACATCAAAAACACTTTCATGCATATGTTAGCGAGTGTGGTAAATTAAAAGGTTAATCATTTCAAAAGGTTAATCTTTCCTTTCCTCACTACTGATCCAGTTCTTCCTATACTTCAAGACCC